ACAGTAGGGTGCAGCGTATGGCTGCATTATACACTCTACTCTTCATGGAGAAAGTGATGTCGCGCCGGCGCCATAGGTGGCGAAGATCACCAAAAGCGCCTTGCGCTTCTACTATACGGTTTGCGATCTCGTCTTCAATTCCAGCGGCGCTCATCATCATCCTTATACACCTTAGCTGCAGGTGGAAAACACCTCAGCTATTGTGCCGCAATACAAAAGACAAGAAGAAATAAACAACAGAGGCAAGCCGGTTGAGTCTCCAGTAACGGATGAACATCGTTCCGGAGAGCTAACAGCCGGCTATCGTGCCGCAAAAAGAGAGCTATATTATGCTTAACGAATGAGATCGTGATTGGAGGGGGGAGGCTAAGCAGGAGGACGGACAAAGGAAGTCACAACACAAACGTCATTGGGTCGGCTCTTCGCCATATCAGCAAGTGTGTCCAACCAAACGTGCTCATCAGCCTTAGGACCCCAGCCAGACAGTCGGAGTGCGCCAACCGACGCCAAGTTAGAAGTGATCCAGCAGCGCTGGTACAACTACCTAGGTAGTTGAACTTTTGAACTGACCCACACCAAGATCAGCACAGGAGGCGGTCCATGCCAATCTTGACGGAAAAGCTTTGCACTTTGAGGGTGCAAAGCATAGCCCGAAACGGCTGACAGTCAGTGCTAATCTGTCCAGAGCCGCTTGGCACATTTGTGAGCTGTCACAGATGAGGGCAATATCGTCAGCATACTCCGAGATAAGAAGCCGTTCACATGGGAGCAACTCCACACTTTTTAAGTCGTGTCCTGTGAACGCGATCTCCATAACTTCAACAGCGAATTCGAAGAGGAAAGGTGACAGCGGGCTTCGTTGTTTTACACAGCTGGAGATATTGAAGAGCGGTGACGGTTTGCAGTAAGCCCTCACTCTGCCAGATACGCGCGTATAACGTTCGGATAGCATTTACATATTTCTCAGGTACACCTTTCCTGAGTAGACAGTTCCCAAGGGCACATCGATCAACCGAATAGAAGGCACCTTTGATGTCGAGGAACAAGACTACGGTAGGTCGGAAATATGTGTGACGGTGCTCCAACAGCTGATGCAAAGTGAAGATGTAGTCGATGCAGCCACGACCCCGACGAAACCCGGCTTGCACCTCACCAGTGACAGTCAGTCTGTGAAAGATGACAAAGACAAGCAATTTGGAAGCGATAGAGATCCGACTGATTCCTCTATGGTTACCGCATACCGATCGTGAGCACTCCCTGAAAATTGGGACAATGACGGAGCGGTTCCAGTCGTTTGGGACAGTTTCCTGCTCCCACAGTTTCACAAGTAATTCGTGTAAATCCTCCACAAGAGCAGGTCCACCGAATTTGAAGAGGGCTAGATGAAGATCATCTGGTCCCGCGGCTTTATTCAACGTTAACAGTCCGATCTCACGTTTGACTTCTGAGCGAGGGAGCGGATCCAAAGGGACAGCCCAGGGAGCAGGGTGATCACTGGCCGGTGAGGAATCTAACAATCTCGGTGGATTAAATTGATTTTCAAAATGCTCAACACAATGCTCTAAGCGTTTTGATAAGTTGTGGATAGGCTGTCGCTCTCGTCATAAATAGTTTCACTAACAACAGGTCTGCTGCTGCCCGTTTGCCGTATCAAAGGAAATAATCTATTGCTTCTGATGCTTCGAGTTGAAGTGGCGCAGGTTGAACTAAAATGAAGATGATAAAGGATACCAATCCTCATGTGGTATGTCTAATCACCAACATGGACATTAGGTCCCTTCACAGTCTCCGGAACTTAGAGATGCTCGCCGGCATATTCCGGCTGGAAGCGAACACAATGAAACTAGCAAAGAGATCCAGGCAAAACTCCGTGCTAGCCTGAAGAGAGACCGCGAATCCTGGTGGTTTCATCGTGCATCAGAGATGGAAATGGCCGCTGCCCTTGGTAACCATCGTAAGTTATTCCGTCTGATATGGGAAACGGGCAGCAGGAGACCTGGTGCTAGTGAAACAATTTGTAACGAGAGTGGACAGCCTATCCACAACTTAACAAAACGCTTAGAGCGTTGGGCTGAGTACTTTGAAAGGCAAGTTAATCGGTCGGAATGGTTAGATTTCTCGCCGACCACTGATCGCCCTGCTCCCTGGGCTGTCGCTTTGGATCCACCGTCTCGCTCAGAAGTCGAACGTGAGATCGAACTGTTGATGTTAAATAAAGCCGCGGAACCTGATGACCTTCCCCCAGCCCTCTTCAAATTCGGGGGGCTTGCTCTTATGGATGATTTACACGAGTTACTAATCAAACTGTGGGAGCAGGAAACTGTCCCAACCGATTGGAGCCGCTCCGTCATAGTCCCAATTTCCAAGGGAGGCTCACGATCGGAATGCGGCAGCCATAGAGGAATCAGTCTGATCTCCATCGCCTCCAAATTGCTTGCCTTTGTCATCCTTCACAGACTGACTGGCACTCGTGAAAGCCAGATTCGTGAAGAGCAAGCTGGATTTCGTCGAGGTCGTGGCTGCATTGACCACATCTTCATCTTGCGTCAGTTGTTGGAGCACCGCCACATATATTGGCGGCCCACCGTTGTCGTGCTCCTCGACATCAAAGGTGCATTCGATTCGGTGGATAGACATGCACTTTGGGACTGTCTACTCAGGAAAGGTGTACCTGAGAAATATGTAAATATTATCCGAGCATTATATGCGCGTAGCTCGGGCAGAGTGAGGGCTTACGGCAAGTTGTCGTCGCCATTTAATATCTCCAGCGGCGTGAGACAAGGATGCCCGCTGTCACCTTTCCTCTTCAACTTCGATGTTGACGAAGTCATGGAAATCGCGTTCACAGGACATGACTTTGAAGGTGTGGATCTGCTTCCAGGAGAAAGACTTCTTGACTTAGAGTATGTTCATGATATTGCCCTAATCTGTGACAGCGCACAAACATGTCAAGCGGCACTGGACAGATTAGCACTAGCTGTCCATCACTTCGGGCTTTGCTTCGCACCCTCGAAGTGCAAAGCGTTCCTCCAAGATTGGTCTGACCGCCTCCTACGCTGACCGTTAGTGGGGATCAGCTAGAAGTCGTTCAAAAATTCATCTACCTGGGAAGTTGTATCAGCGCCCGTGGGATTGAAGATGAAATCACGAATCGTATAGCAAAAGCTCGGGGCGCTTTTGCTAACCTTCGCCATCTATAGCGCCGGCGCGACATCACTTTCGCCCTGAAGGGTAGAGTGTACAAGGCAGCGGTACGTTCGACCCTATTGTACGGTTGTGAAACCTGGCCGCTTAAAGCAGCGGACCTGAAGAGGCTAGTTACGTTCGACCATCGGTGCCTTCGTAATTTAGCTCACATCTGGTGGGAACACCGCGTGAGCAACGAGCGTGTTCGACACCTTGTTTACGGCAAAGGAAAAGGAAATGAACCGCTCAGCACCGTCATTTCACGCACCAGGCTCCGATGGCTCGGCCACGTGTTACGCATGCCAGCCCTCCGACTTCCGCGACGTGTGTTGTTTGCGCGCCGGGGGTGTGGATGGAAGAAGAGGAGGGGTAGCCAAGCGATGACTTGGTCCAGAGGAATGAAGGTCCTCACTTCTGTGCTGGCCTCAGTTGGAGCGTCTCGGCTCCCTGGTTGGGGTCCGAAAGACGATGAACACGTTTGGTTGGACACACTTGCTGATATGGCTAGGAGCCGACCTCAGTGGCGTTCGTGCTGTGAGTTTCTTTGTCCTACCCCATCCCTCTTAGCCTCCCCCTCCAACCACGATCTCATTATTTAGCTTTATATAATTTCGCATAGTATTTTTTTGATGCACAGTGGCCGGCTGGTAGCTTACCGGAACGATGCCCATCCGTTACCGGTAGCTGAGCCCGGCTTGCACCAGTTGCATTATGTTTTCTCCTTTTTCTATATATTGCGGCACAGTAGCTGAGGTGTTCCCCACCTCTAGCTAACGTGTATGATGATGATTATGATGAAAGGATACCAACAGAAGACGCTCTAAGCGTGATCAAGGCCTTCTATTTTTGTGCACCGTCGGTTCGCATTCTAAATCACCATTGCCGTTAAAGGATTTCGACAAGCCCACTGCAAGAAATTGACCCACCAGTTCGGACAGGTATGAGAGAGAAATAGTAAAACAGCCAACTTCAGTGATAATATCTCAGAAGAGCGGTCGCGAGGTTTGTGATAAGCGAAAAACCGACAGCCCCATGTAGTCGAGTTCTACCGGACAGCTTGCATCGGGTGAGGTGTAAGTGCCTACGAAAGTGACGCTGTATAGACTGTCACAGAGTTGCACGCTTCGCCATGTGCCTTATAACTTAAAAAGCAAGGTACTATCGAGAATCGGATCGAAACGCCACCCACCAGTCACAAGATGATGTTAATCGATAACATCATCACAATAGTTGCAATGCCACTGGATATTAAGTCACCGCTCAGGTTCCTGTGAAAATCGGTAAGCCCAGAGTGGCCTCTTAAAGTCAAACGGTTATTGGATGCGGTGACATTAGCTGTTCCGTGAAAAGTCGGAAGCGTAACGATGCGATGAAGCTAGAAACGGACACCATGTTGAGAACATTAGAACAATCCTTTTTGATTGGCGGAGTTTGCGAAATATTGCTAAATATACTAGGAGCACTGCAGTATTTGTTGATGATGTTTGGTGACACACAGTATCGTGTAGCACCCAGTCAACATTGAATATGAAAGGAGCCTGCATTGATCAGCCCAGGCAATCCGCGTGTCATCTGACAACCTATCTTAGCGGATGATGCCCAGCGCTGACTGAATCAATGAAACGGTCAATGAATGGTACGGTCGAACTATTTAGTCCAACTGACACATGCCCTCATCCTGGGAGTGGATCCAGGAATCAGTTACATTTATGGCCAAAATGTGTATCCGTACGTGCTTAGAAGTAAAGCGCAGGCAGTTATCTGACAGAACGGATTGGATAAAGGTCAACAAACCCGAAATGACAAAACGACCGTTACATAAGGGATGTCATGGGATCAAAAAGTACGGTGGTATCACTTACCGAACGACCATGAATAGTTCCAGTGGGAAGTTGGTTTAGCCGGTTGGGGTTTCTGATAGAAGCTGGCTTTTGAGAAAAACCCAAATGACGCGGGGTATTGTTCCCAGTGACGAGATTCCCCAGTACAGTCGGAGGGCTAGATAGATGAAAGGATAGGTGGTCCGATTCACTGAGCGCCTTGGTCGGAGTTTGGACAAGGAAAGTCTCCTCGGTATTATGTCCAGGAGCATCACAAGTGCCAGAAGATGCCGCAGACTTTGAACGAACGGTAGGCTCCACCTGTGGGTGGATTGCATCATGTAAAGCAGTGGACGTTCGGATCACTGTATCGTTAGAGACGCGTTTATCACACGTAGTAACAGTGGGCGCCTTCTCGCTTATGCGACTCAATTTTCTGAAGTAGAAGAGGCCAAAGGAAGAATCGGGTTACTGAGTTTCGAGCGCATTATGTGATCGCGAAAACAGAGTGTACATTTAGACAGGTCTGTGTTTATCGGTCCAAGATTGCATCACAAACAGCGAAATAAGTTCGTATGTGACAAATTGTGAAGTACAATTGGCAGGCATAAACAAAATTATCGTGCGAGGAGAGGAATGAGTCCCATTGACTGTCAACTTGTTGTGTAACTTGAGTGCATCGGGCATCAACAGTACGCCGGCACGTAGTCCCGAATCTTCGGTGCCACAGGACCATCGCTAGTCGCGTGGGCGTAAGGGGTACTGTTAAGTCATTCGTATCTAAGCAGGCTCGAAGTGGCGACCCCTGAGTTACAAGCCAGACAGCTGAATTGCTCAGGAAAATGTCAATCAAAAGTGACGTCAGAAAACCACCGGCGGACCAGATATGATAGGAACGATGGCTAGACGGATACAATTTGGGATACGGGACCCATTACTGGGTTGGCTGTCGTCATATCTGAATAGTCGTCCCCAGGTGATCACTCTATGTGACTATTGCTCTTCTCCACGCCCCATCACCGGTGAGTTCATCCAAGGGTGCTCGGTCCTTCACTGTTTCTGTTCTACATCAGTGACACCATCACATCTGTAAAACACGGACAGTCACTTTTATTTGCCGATTATATCATGATCGTATATAAGCTTCGACGTGACGAGCTTCAGGGAACGGCACTGCTCATCCAAGATGACTTACATTCCATTGAGTTATGGTGCCAAACGTGGGTGTTGAACCTCTCGGCGAAGAAACCAAGCATTATGTCTTACGGCTGTTCCATCCCCGACTGGCCTATCACACAAAACAAGGAACACGTCTCCACACACATGTCCGTACGCAATCTCGGAATTAGGTAATCATCTACCTTCAATTTCTCTGAACAGGCCCATTACCAGGTAGCACGTGCCAGACAACCTGTGTTAAATATATTCAAAAAAGTTCAAACAATCCATGCTAGAGTTGAGCTTTTTAAGCTACTCACCCACCCTATCCCCGAGTGCTTCAGTGTAATATACGGCAATATGGTAAGCTGGCCTTCTTGGACGTTTTACTAAGGAGGAAAGAAGACGGTTCACTAGAAAGAATGTGTTTCGGAAAGCGACGTGGGTTGGTCAATACACGCATTTTCTCAGTTTTGTACCCTTAAAGTACAAACAGAACCTTGTTCGTTGCTTGCAGTTCGCGCTGCCAAAATGTGCAGCACAGTGACATTGGAGGCCGAAAAGATTCGTATACTCCAAAATCTGCAAGAAAACGGCTACCTACCCTCGTCCACCCGAAAACATGCAGTAATTCATGATCGTCAAGAATTGATTATAACCGTTCACAAGAAAGACGTGTTTCTATCTGTTCACTTCAAGGGAGACATTGCTTTTGAGTTGCTGCACAAAAGAGTTTCTACTGCAGTTGCTCGAACCTTCCCAACTGTCAATCTACAGGTAAGTGCCGAAACTGCGCCGTTTGTTGCCCAACGTCTCAAAGACAGTCTCCCCGCCCAGTCCGAAGCTTACATTTAATATCAATTTATTTGCACCTATGGTGTGAGTTATGTCGGACATACGACTAGACGTCTGTATAAACGGATATCGGAGCACTGTCCAACAGCATTGCAGAAAGGTACTGTCGGTTGCATCAAGAGTTCTACCCTAGTAAGTCTGGTCGAAGGTGAACACCAAATTAGGACTGCTAATGCTTTCAAACCACTTTTTGGTACCAAAACGTTACCCCAAATTGCTTACACAATCTGAACTATGCAAACAGAGGGCGCTTGTTCAAGCGCTCTTTCTGCCCTGGGGTTAACATACTTCCAAACAACGTTCACTCCACACGCTGACAACCATCGGGTGATGGGTGAGTCACCTAACCAGTCGAAAAGCACGTGCTATATCTGGTGAGTATATGTGTGCCGATGTCTACATACATGTACCCTGGTAGTTGCTGTTTGGGTAGATCGACCAATCTATCGATTAAGAGAGCTCAATTGCTACCTCGTGCTGATTTGTTAACCTTACTCGCACTTTAGCAGCCTATCCTGTTCCAACTTTCCATTTTATAAGTGGAAAAAACCGAAGAGATTTATCGAAAAGAGTACCCTTCGCAACTTTGTGTTCTAACAATATGAGAAAGAGTGACAAGTTTGTCGTGGAGCCCCAGCAGAGGTCGTTTACTAAAAATCTTATTGGTAAGCACTCTGCTATGAGTTATCGTGGATGTTGGAACGAACCACTCGAGCCACTTTGGATTCGACGACTGAAGCACAACTTGTTGCTGCTTTTCAACCTTCAACACAAAAAGCCATTGCGATCTGTTTACACTCGAACTACGACATAGTTCAACACGAGAACTGCGCAATAAAGATTTTACATTGAATAACATTCGCTCTAACTTTTCCTGATCCGGCATAGCTATCTGGAACAAAGTACCAATCACATTCAGATCATGTGATAATGTGGCAACATTTAGAAGCAGACTCACCAATTACCTTGATCTAACTGCCATAATCTCTATATTCACATGAGAAAGATCCCTCGATGGTAGTAGTAATAGTAGTATAGTCAGCAGTCTATCAAAGAGACAGAGCCGAACATAACCATGGAAAGCACCAAAAGAATACAGGTTAAACAACCTATCAGCGTCATGGCATAGTAACTGAAGGTGAGCAACACACTTCAGCTATTGCGCCGCAATATAAAAAACAACGAAGCACCTTTTGTTAATTTGCACACATCATTTTTTTTGTCATTTTAATCATTAAGCATCCAAAGCTAAGCAGTTATATATACAGATCCTCAACTGGTTTCGATTACCAGCTATATCCTGAACTGTTTGCAGCCATCGACACTCCTCGTCCTTTGGTTCCCAAACAGGCAGGGGTGTGGATACAACGGCAACAAGACGTGAACTCAACGATTTCATATGCTGACACCAAGGGGACGGCTGACAACCACGTGGTCTCTTCCACCCAAGGCATACAAGAGAGAAAAGGGCGCAGTAAGGCAAATGCTCAGCTGACATACGCAAAACGTGACCGAGTCATCTTAACTGGCGCAACAAAACCAGCTTGTTGAAGGGAATACTCGCATTCCCTAAGACACGACTTCTGACTTCACTGTTGCAAACGTGGTGTTGCCACAAAACACGAGCAATCCTTCTCAAACACCCGTTGTCGAAGGCAGAGAGCCGGCGCATATGGTCAACGTGAACTCGCCATGACTCGCTCCTATATAGCAATAACGCCCGAACGGTGGTATTGTAAACTCCACCCATTACCAAGATATCTCGGCGACGCTACAAATGCTGCAGGTTGACAAATGCCGATCGGGCTTTGGCGATGCGAAGAGAACCTACCCTTCTAATGGTATCACCAGCAGACACATAGCAGCCAAGGTAGACAAAGCTATCCACTTGTTCCAGCTGTGTACCTACAACACTGAGCACGGGAGCAGTTGAGTGCTAATCTTTAGGCGACACTTTACACTTTGACGGGGCAAAGCACATTCCGTACCTAGATGCCACGATCGCCAAGCGGTCTAGAATGGTTTGCATGCTCTGTGAGTCCTCACCAAGTAAGGCGATATTATCGGTATAATCTGTCGATTGCTCGTTTGCCCGGTAATACCTGTATACCAAAATCTTAGCAACCGTCTAGAGCTCTCGACACGATGTCACCAATCGCAAAATTGAAGAGGAACGGGGACATAAGGCAGTCTTGTCATACACCGCTAATGACAGCGAAGGACGACCAAAGGCTGTCATACACCCTCACTCTGCCAGAGATGCGGAAATACAGTGCGCGTAGGATGGCAGTATACTTTTCTGAGACCCTGTTCCTTAGCAAACAACGCCATGGTGCAGGTCGATCAACCGAGTCGAATGCGGCACGGATGTCCAGGAAAGCGACGATGGTACGCCGCTGGTAAAGGTGGCGGTGTTCCAGAATTTGACTGAGTGTGAATATCTGATCCACACAAGCGCGGCCAGGTCGGAAGCCAGTTTGTTCTTCCCGGTACTGAGATTCGCGAATGGGAGATAGTCTACGAAGTAGAATGGATACCAATAGCTTGGAGGCAACTGAAATGAGACTAATCCCCCGGTGATTGGTACACGAAGTGCCAGCACCCTTCTTAAAAACCGGGACAATAACTGACTCGACTCAGGAAGAAGGCAACTTTTCTTCATGCCAGAGTTTGGAGAACAATGAGGTTAGCCTTCATATTTGAAAGGTTATGGAGGAAGTCCGTCTGAGTCGGCAGCCTTGGATCGTCTTTGGTGTTGAATCGTAAGACAAACTTCCGCTTCTTTGGGTGGATCAAGTGTGACGACTCAGGGTGGGCAGCTTGGTTCGCAGGGGACATAAGTGGACAGTGAGGGCCAATAGAACTGGGAATAAAAAGGTTCGGCCCATCGGTCTAAGGATCTCTGTAAGTTGGTAATCGATGAACCATCCGCTTCGCATATAGTCTCATTTACATCAAGTTTTCTGTGGCCAGTGGATGGAATGAGCTGCAAGAGCTTGCGAGTATTGCCAGAAAGGGCAGCGGCCTCCGTTTCCGAAGCACGCTGGGACCATCAGGTTTCACGGTCACTGCGTAGCCTTTGAGTTACCGACTGACAGAACGGTGCACTTCATCATGATTAGACTACGCTGGGATATTCGTGCGGGAGGTCAAATAAATCCAAAGAGCGCGTGGAGGTCCAGGCCTTCATATGGTGCTGAGTAAGACCACAGACTGGCTGCCCGGAAGAGATCATGGTCCTTTGCATGAATGTCCAGTATTCATCAATATCTTGCGGTGGGTCGCAGCGGAGTGCACTAACCAGGGAAGCTTGATAACGCTGCTGAACTGAAACAGTAGATGGTTTATTTGTGTCGATCTTACAGCGCTTCATTTTCGGGGACCCTCCGAAACTCATGCAGAGGTTCGCACAGAAAAAAGAGC